GCGTAGTAATTCCATGCGTGGTAATCTCACGCATAGTACTTCCATGCATCGTAATCTCACGTGTAGTAATTCCATGCGTAGTAATTCCATGCGTGGTAATCTCACGCATAGTACTTCCATGCGTAGTAATCTCACGCGTAGTAATTCCATGCGTAGTAATTCGATGCGTGGTAATCTCACGCGTAATAATTCCATGCGCCGTAACTTCACGCGTAGTAATTCCACCCGTAGTAGTTCCATGCGTGGTAATCTAGCGCGTAATAATGCAGCGCGTGGTAATCCAACGCGTACTACTCCAACGCGTAGTAATCTAACGTGTACTAATCCAGCGCAGTAATCCAACGCATACTAATCCAGCGCGCACAAATCTAACACATAACAAACTACCTCATCCATCATAAAAAATTTTCCCATCGCATCATCCACTTCCACAGCGATAATTTTTAAATATTGAACTTATTATATAATTTGTAACATCAATAATATCGAAGTACTTTAGCTTAAAGTTTAAATTGAATTTAAACAGACAGTTTGTTATAAACTTTTTATATCTTTTGATGACGTTTTATGACTTTTTATGTCCTGACTTTTATCGCCGCAGCTTCATCACTCGAAATACCTATGATACCGTTGCAAGGTAGAAATTCGAAATTCGAGAAAGGCAATTGGATATCAGTAACACATCAAACGATAACAGAATAAAGTAAGCTTTCAGATGAATTGATTCGATAGTCGATTATACCATACGCTTTGATATGACGCGATACGATCTGCGTTGATTAAAAACGTACATAAAGTTGGTAGCTCGATCAATTACAGATAAAAATTTATAAGCGTAATGGTAATTATATGGTTATTATAATTGTTGTATTGATAACATTTTGACGAGAGCTTCAATAAATCTCTTGTTATCGTTTCATTTGAGATTTTATCGATAATTGCAGGATTATTATTTTTAAATTGCGATAAACATAATTCTTTATAGAACTGGATTAAAGGTTCTCTTATGAATAGGAATGTTAAAATATTAACACGATCGTATGATGACGCATGATATAAAGTTGATATTAAATGACTCAGAGCTGTGAAAAAATTTAGAAAAAATGTGCATGACAAAATTGGGAAAAAATGTGGATAAAAAATTGAGAAAAAAATGTGAATGAGAAATGCAGAAAAAAATGGATGAACAATGTTAAAAAAAATGTGGATGAAAAAATTCAGGAAAAAAATATGAATGAAAAAATTTAGAAACAAGCGGATGAAAAAATTTAGAAAAAAATGCGAATGAAAAAATTGAGAAAAAATATGGATGAGCAATGTTAGAAAAAATGTGGATGAAAAAGTAATGAAAAATTGTAAACGAAACAAATTATAATTTATAATTAGTGACTATATTATCATAATCACGAGAAGATATTCATTATACAGCATTTTATAGGATCACATTTTAAAATAGGTTAACCTTTCGCGCGCTTTTTTCAAACCGAGATAAAGACTCTTTCTCATCATAACTCATCATGACTCGTTATCATAATTCAAATTTTGGTAATGTATCTAAACAAATAAGTAATCTAAATAAATAAAATAAATAACAATCAAGGTTCATAAACTATAAAATGAATGAAATAATCAAAAAAGAAATTGAATGTCTACATTAAACGTTAAAAGCATAGTCCAGTAGTATCTTTTGTCGGGAGTTTTGCATAAGCATCGGAACGCTCGGTCTCTCGTTTGCTCAAAGGAAAAACTTCGGACCGTTGCTTTAACCGAGGATTCTTCCTAGGTCCCTGGCTAGTTTGAATTCCAGACGGATAGTTGTGGTTCCGCGACGCGGAGCTAAGTGAATCGCGACGTGGAGTGGTTCAGTCAAGGTTGAAGTAGTTTACTCGTTGCTGAAAGTACCAACCGGTGCTCGTCGTCGAAGGATTTTAACGCGAACCAGTCCGTTTTTTCTCCCTTCCTGCTTTCGTATGCGAGCAAACTCGTCGGAAAGAAGCGCACGCATGAATATCCGCGTTTCGAGCAACAGATAAAGGAGAATGAATCAAAGTTGACTCTTGATGCATAATTCTTGTCTTTACATTGAACGGTGATATAGCACGCAGCGATATACACATATCGCATATATGATTCCTCCATGAGAAATTCTACTTTTGTTGATCTTATGCGCAGTTAATTCAAACTCGTGGTAATCACATGTTTTAAAATTCCCTGCGTGGGGATTATGCGTAGCTAAGTGCATATGTGATAATCCCACGCGCTGAAATTCCACATATGAGCTAATGCGTCGAAATTTCACGCGTGGTTGTCAGCACCAAAATTCTATGCGTGCTGGTTTAACGCGTTGAAACTCCACGCGCGGTGACTATTATCCATATTACCCCATATGGGTAATTTAACCGTAGTAATTCCACACGTGGTGATTCTGCACGTAGGTAATCTGATACGTGGTAGAGTCACGTGTGGTGATGCTATGCGAAGGTAATGTAACGAGCGATAGTCTCACGCGAGGTAGTTTCTACATGTAGGTAAAATAATACGTGGGAGTAACACGTGTTGGGATTCTACGCATTACACTTCCACGTGTGGAGATTCTATGAGTGATACTTGTACGTGTGGAGACGTGAAGAAGCGCGTGGTAATGCAACGCGTGATGCTTGTATATGTAGTAATTTAACGCGTGGTAATTCAGCGCGTACTAGTCTAGCGCGCAGTAATCTAACGCGTGGTAATTCAGCGTGCACTAATGTAGCGTGTAGTAATCTATTGCGTTGTAATCTCACGTATAGTAATTTAATGCATGGTGACCCAACGCGTGGTGACCCAACGTCTGGTGACCCAACGCGTGGTAATCTAACGTGTGGTAGTAATCTAACGCGTGATAATCCATCGCGCAGAAACCCAACGCGTACTAATCCAGCGCGCACCAATCTAGCGCGTAGTAATCTATCGCATGGTAAATCAACGCGTCGTAACCTAACGTGTGGTAGTAACCCAACGCGTGGTAATCCAACGCGCGGTAATCCAACGTGTGGTAATCCAGCCCGCACTAATCTAGCGTGTAGTAATCTATCGCGTAGCAATCTAACGTGTAGTAATCTATTGCGTGGTAAACCAACGCGTGGTAACCTAACTTGTGGTAGTAATCCAACGCGTAGTAATCCAGCGCGCAGTAATTCAACGTATACTAATCCGGCGCGCACTAA